AAAGAATTCTATGACTTTTGGCTCAATAATTGTTAAAACCACTGACTGCTCCCTACTGCAGATACAAGTGAAGCCTGATTCCTTGTCTTTCCTAAGTTTTCTGCCCACTTATGTTTTCTATACAAGCAAAGGCTCACCTGCAAAGCACCTGAATGCACATGAACTCACCTGAATGCATCTCACATGTACCTTGTCGTGGTGCTTTCATTCACTAGTTCCCTTTTCCACATGCTCGCTGCCATCTCTCCCCACCCTAACACTCTCCGACATAATGGCTGAAAGAAGAGGTATCCCCTGACATCTCACTGGTAGGAATGTGAAGTGGTGCAATCACCTTAGAAAATACTGGGTTGTTGGAAAAGTCATGACGCATTTTTGCAACGAAAAACATAGAAAAAAATACGTCATGACTTTTCCGACAACTGAATAGTATGGCAGTTTCTTAAAAAGTTAAACATACTGTTACCATATGTCCCAGCAATTCTACTCCTAGGTAACTATCCAAGAAAAGTGAAACCATATGTCCACACAAAGACCTCAGAGAAGCATTATTCATAAAAGCCTAGAGTAGAAACAATCCACAAGTCTACTAAGCAGTGACTAGAGAAGGAAAATGTGGTATATCCATCCAGTGGGATAGCATTCAGCAAGAGAAATGAGCTAACCACTGACTCATGCTACCACACAGATGTACCTCAAAAACATGATAAGTGAAAGAAGACAGATGCAAATAACCACGTGCTAAATAATTCCATTTATATGAAATCTCCAAAAAAGGCAAATGTGTATGGGCGGAAAGTAGATTAGCAGTTGCCTGGGGCTGGGAGTGAGAATAGGAATTGGCTGTAAATAGGTAGAGGGGATCTTTTTGGGATGATAGACATATTCTAAAATTTGGTTGTAGTGCTCATTATACCAATCCATAAACTTTTCTAAAACCACTGAATTTTATGAGAGAATTTTATGATGGGTACATTTTATGGTACATAAATTATACCTCAGTAAGGCTCTTAAAAAAACAAACAGATCTCACCAGGTACACGGCCATTCACAGGGGCTTTCAGATGTCTCCCACCATTAAGGCATGAGAGACTAGAAAAGGCTCACGGGGTAGAGGAGCATCCATGCTGGCAGCCTCGGCTCTGCCATTCATTTATGTTTTGGGGTGCCAGTCAGGGTCTCCCACCCTGAAACCAGTGCAATGACTGCTACTTGGCTCACCACCATCCCATTCACCTCAAAGTGGCACCTGGCAATGAGCTGTGGTGCCCGCAGCTTGAGCTTACGTGCAGGTACTTCAGGGAGCACTCAGTATTCCTTCCATAGCAAACTCCTGACTTAGTCTAGGCCAACTGAGCCCAGGTTACACATGGCAGACATTTTGAAAATAGAATTTCAGGAACAATCACACGAACCAATTAAAGTCAGCCTGATTTTGACAATCTAGAGATCTCAGGCACTTTGAGAAAGAGGAAAAGTGGAGAGGAAAGGAGAAATTAGATAGTGGATCTCCGCTGAAATATACTGAATGCACACAAAAATAAAAAACTTGCTAAGCAAATTGCTAACACAAAAGATATTTCAAAGAGAGTATTAAAGAAACACCCATTAAAAACATCTACTGATAACTAAGGATATTCTAAGTGTAATTCATTTTTACAGAGTCATTAAAGAAAGCCAATAATATTGCAAATTGCAGCAAATTGTAAAACAAATTCAAACTGTCTTTCTTCATTTAACATAGTTACAACTAAATTTCTTTATAAAGGTTAAGTACTGCTAACAACTATACTAACGAGTGATGTCATCTATCATATTTATAGGAGTGCTCAATTTTAATTCTGCAAATCTTAATTCAATAAACTAATAAACTAATTCAGAGTAATTGTTTCTAAATTTGCACATCTCATACTAGGCACCGCACTAAACATCTGCAATCTAGACCTCATTATTTGGAGATTCATGACTAAAGGGCCTCATCACTGAAAGCATTTATTAAAATCATCCCAAGTAAAATGGGAAATTCTGGAAGCAAAACAAAAACAACTTTCTAAGCACTTTCCATTTCACTTTATATTCAAATAACATGCTAATTATAAAAAAATCGTATCATCATTAAAAATCAATACTGTTTAATTTGAAAGTACTGAAAACGGTTTCTTTTCATCATATCCTATAATTTCTGATTAATTTTAATTAACTTGGGTACAACAGCCTCTTTTAATATCCTTCACAATGGTGGTTCTCAAACTTTTTGATCTCAGGATCTTTTTCCACTCTTAAAATTTAATGAGGACCTCAAAGAGCTTTTGTTTCTATAGGTTCTATCTATCTATATTTGCTGTGCTGGAAATTCAAACTGAAAATTTTTTAAATATTTATTACCTAATTAAAAAAATAATAAGCTCATTACATGTTAACATGTATCATTTTTAAAAAATTAGACATATCTGTATTTTCAAAAGCAAAAATAAATTAGTGAGAAGGGTAGCGCTATTTATATTTTGTAAATCTATTTAATATGTGGATTAATGGAAATACCTAGATTCTCATACCTGCTTCTCCCTTCAGTTTGTTATGACGTGCTGCTTTGGTTGAAGTACATGAAGAAAATCTAGCCTTCTAACTGGAAAAGTAAAGAGTATTTTAATAGGCTCTTTGGATAATTGTGGTTATTTTTCTTTGATACTACACCAAAACTTGACAAGTGATAGTTGCTTAAAGGTTAGCTGCAGTCTGAATTCTAAAACCATATCGATGAACTTTTCATACTCTGATACATGAAAATCCATTGGCATATCTTGCACATTTCAAAAAAAAAATCACATGTTAATATGGCTGTGGATCTCATCAGAAAAGTATTTTACATATTGGGAAGCTGTCAAGTTCACCGAGGTGAATACAAGTTTTCCAAAATTCTTATTTTTACTTAAAAGCTCAAATTTTATCTTTGGCAACAAATATTGTCAGTTGTTTTTCTTGATATGGCAGGCAGACTCACTGTATTCATTTCAATGTGTACTCTAGGTTCAAGATACAGTAAAATTCACAAAGGACATTCTTGGTGTGACTGGTTCTTTTTTGTTTTTAACCTGTGTGTGCATACCAGCCTGATTGAGCTGAGGCTTCCGTAGTTTTACCCTATTGCTTGTGAACCACCAGTGTACATATCAGCAGAGTGCAAAAGGCAAATCATGTCTCGATGTCATAATAAAAATAGTTTTGACCTTTTCAACCCACTGAAAGGATACTGAGGGACTCCCTAGGTAGGGGTAAGCAGGCCACACTTTGAAAACTGCTGTGTGATCACATAACTGACCCCCAACCACCATTCAAATCACTAGGTGGCAGCCACCAATTTAGAAAGTGGAAATGACTTATTGCTTTTTCTGGTTATCCACATATATTCCCCATCCCAAGAACATTAATATAAGCAGAATGGTATTCCCACAGTTCAAATTCAATAAGAAGCATGAAAAATGAAATCTAGTAACCATGCATGGATAATAGAAACTAAGCAAACTAAACTTATTATGTAAACTTTCCTCCAAGGAATTTAAAGCATGAATTTTTCTTTAATTCACCCATTTGTTGGGCTCTTTTGTGTAAGGCACTTGCTTAGTATTGGAGATATGGAGAGGCCTCCATTGACGGCCCCTGTGGCCAGGGTCCAAAGGACATGAAGCAGCCAGGAAACAAAGCAGAGGCACTAAAATCAAACCTGATCCCATTTCAACCCCCAGATCCTCACCCTACAAGCAGCCTGTCTTTTATAATCTCTGCGTCTCTGTTTTCTTAGTTGGATACGAGGCAAATTACACTTAATATTGTGAGGACTGGATGAAATGCATGTAAAGCATTAGCGCAGCTCCCAGTCCACAGCAGGTATTCAATAAATGGTGGCCACTGTTATGAATAAGGTCCCCGGAGGCAGCCGGAGTCCAGGGAGAGCGGCACACACATCCAAATAATTAAGACACAGCATGGGAACTGATTAACTACAAAACGCGATGGGAGTAAAAGGAAAATCGATGGTCTGCTTATGCGAGGAAGGTGCTACAATAAAGGAACCACCATCTCAAGGGAAGGAGGAGCTGGCCAGATGGGAGAGGAAGAGAAGGGGGAAAAGCACATCCAGATACATACAAATGCTGGTCACACCATGGACAGTAAAGAAAACACCCTGGAACCAGCTCACTTAGGGCCTTTAATGTCATACTAAGGAGCTCCATCATTTGAAGCGATTTCCTTTTTATTCTTCTAAAGACTGAGGAATTATAAACACTCAGTATTAGCAGGTCATCTGGTCTCCTGTGGCATGCCTGGCCCCGCAGTATACACACATTAATCCTTATGACTGCTCTAACGTCTCACCCATCAGCAGTCCCCTGGTCCGAGACCGACTAGCGGGGAAAAGCAAAGCTCCTCTCAGAGGCTGCGGGGCTTCAGCAAGCCCCAGCAGCTAGGGAATCTGCACTTATTGTTTTAAAGCATGCATGAGGCACATCCTGGGCAAAGCCATTTTGTATTCTCTCAGACACTTATAAAATCTTGAAGCGTGTAACTTTGTCTTCATGCCAGCCCCATCTTTGCCTCAGGTCCTATGCTCCAGTGGAATTTATAGGTCGCTTTGCTTAATGGAATGAGGAGACAAAGAAACAGGGTCTAGTGCCCCCTGTTTTCCATCATGATTCCAGCCACCTGTGAAGCCTCTCATCATTGCCTGAGTGAGCCCTGAAGCCCCAAGTGGCCGCCCGTCTCTTGCTCTTTGAGAGGAGCAGCGAATGCCGCCTAGGTGCATCGTGGGATGTGCCACAAGGCCAGCATGGTGACAGCCCCTCAGGTGCGAGTCTGTGACCCCTTGGCAATTCTGCAGGTGCACCTGAAGGTGCAGTCAGCGTGGAGCCATGGCCAGCTGTGCTGCTCCATCCATACTCACGTACGGGATGCGACCGACCACTAAGACAAAACCACAGAAATCACAGCAATGTCTTACTCACCCAGAATTTTACGAGGAAGAAGGCATTTTGAGGGCCCTTTCCAAACAGTTCCTTTAAGCCACCTTTCTTTTCAGGAAATTTGTCATAAATCTGACGAATGTCCACTGATTCGAGCAACGGGTCACTGTAAGAATGGTTGGCATGCCCAATGTGCACGAAGAGGTGTTTGTTGTACTGTAAGAAACCAACAGAAACATTCCCATTACAAACCCTTTGATCAACCTGGGACACATGCATCTTGAACCGGATGAAGGGCAGTAGTCTTGAAGTCCTGGAATTACACCTTGAATAGAGCAAAGGTCTGTGCCTTTGAAAAGATGAAAATGTTAAGAAAAGCCATTATAGCTTAGGGTAAAACAGTCATTTAAAAAAAACATTAAAGTTGATATACAATATTTTAATAGTTTCAGATATATAACATAGTGAAACAGTCATTGTCTTTTATTGACAAGGGTATATATTTTCCCAACACCTAAAAAAGTCTTTTTGTAGACACAATAGTAAACAACAGCTTCAGTTAGTTACCCAACTACCAAACCAAGAAACAATTCTGTTACTCAGTTTCACCTGACTCAAATGAAAATGACAGCAATACCCTTTGGAGCCCATTATTTACAGTGTGAGCCCACTAAGAAGTATGTGTGTGGTCAGCTAACGTCATCACCCAGAATGCACTTCTCAAGCCAGCTCCCCTACCGACAGCATGGAGGCAGCCCTCTGAGCAACAGTACCCACATACCTCTTCCAGCAGGAGTAAGAGTGTCGTCCCCTTAGTAACCAATCTAAAACTACTATGTAAGGGCTGCTCGATATGTGGTTTTCAATGCAAAGTTAGGGTCAAGGTCATAGATCATGGAGACCACTCATGGTACGAGGCTATAAGGGGCTGGTAAAAACACAGACAAACCAACAAACAAAAAAACACTGGTCACTCATTCACAAAAAAAGAAACAAAAACACCAGAACGCTGTTAAGATGTTTAACTTACACAGGAGATCCTTTCTTCTTGCTTTGGTATAAGATATGGTAACTGGATCACAAAGCAGCGTGTCCAGACCAGTGGCTCTCACCCAAGATGCAGCGGAATTGCCACGGAGTATTTAAAAATCGTCAATGCCTGAGCCCCACCCAGGCTAAATTGGAATCCCTGAACTGAGGGCAGACATTAGTAATTTTTAATGCTCCTTAGGTAAATTCCAATATGCAGCCAAATTTGGGAACACTGGACTAGCCTCTCTACTCTAGACCTTCCATACCTTCTTCTCCTGCTGAGTAGGCCACAACACCAACCAAATGTGACACAGACAAAGATGTCTGTGCTGTAAGGGTTCCAGGAAGCTCAGAACCCAATAGGGTTCAGAAGAGAAGCCCCATGTCCCTATTCGCCTAGCAGTCCCTATTCACTTTTCAAGTGTAAATCGGCAATTGTCCAACCAGAGTCCCTCTGATTACTGATCCCATAGGAAATGAAAAGTCCCAAATAAAAGAAGACTTGGTCACAGCTGCCTACCAGGAGTACCATATACAGGTTAAGAGTATGGGGTCTGGACTCAGCCTGCTCAAGCACAAACCTTTGTGCCCGCTGCAAATTAGCTACGACATTAGGCAAGTGCCTTCCCAGTCTCTGAGATGGGGACAGTGATGGCATCTACTTCACAAGGTTGCTATAGGGTTTAAATGAGACACTGCTTAAGAAGAGCTTACTAGAACTCCTATCCAACAAAAGTAAATGCTCAATAAATGCTATTTTTAAAAAAATAAAACTCCCTTGCGTGAGATTCACAGTGTCTATTAGCATATTAAAAGCAGTGTGGTAAAGAAACGTTTTTTTGACTTTGTATAACCCAAAGTTCCCAAATTCATTTGATGACAAAACCCTGTAAAAACATCCTGAGGACGTGCTAGTTTAAATCTGTGACCTGTTACCGCGCTGTGGATCTCTGGTTACAATGCTAAAGGCAAGAGGCCCGCCCCTTCACATGATATCAGCTGTCCACAGAGTTACACATATAGGAAGTGTGGCCAGGGCCCGGCATCTGGGGGAGGGCTAAGCCCCTCTCCTGTCCAATATCAGAGTGATTGATACCTTTACCAAGGCTTCAAAATCCCTAACATGACAAAAAAGGGAACCTATCAAGCTCTGCCATGGACCCAGCCTCTTTTCCAGCTATCCAGTGGCTTTCAGGTAGGACTGAGACCTGGAAGCTACGATGAAAGAAAAGAATATGCCTGGGCTGGAAGAGAATGAAAAGAAAAAATTAAATAATGTTTAAGTCATTGCTGTATTAGGCAGGTGAGGTTATGGGGTGAGTACCTTTGATCATTTTGTAAATTATCTCTAATGCTGTCACATCATCTTTTCAATTATAAGTAAACAAAAGCCCACAGAAATGTATGAGGCACTACTGCTTAGGAGTTTGCAGTCTCATCAGTGGGTAAAAGGAGACAAAACAACAGGGGCAAAGCTGGGGGCACAGGCTCTGGGGAAAGGCGATGTGAGACGAGAAGATGAATGAGGTGTGGGCCTCGTGTCTGGCTCCTCTGTTCACTCTCCAGTTGCCCACTGTTACAGGAGCTGAGGCAAAAGGCATTGTTCCTTCACTATGCAGACCAACCGGCCACCTGCATGTCCACCCACCCAACCCTTATTAATAACCTCTGCTTGCAGCAAGCTCCCAGCCCTGCCCAGCTCTGGGAGGCACCATTTGTCATTACTTGTGCCAGCTGTGGACAGTGAGTTTATAGGAAACAATGGAACATAAGCAGAGCCTTGGGGACACCCGTGAATAGGACCTGAGTCTCTCAGTTGAGCACCGTCCTCTCAGTTCTTCTGCCTCCCCAGCCACCCACAGGTCAGGGCAGAGCCATGGTGATGTTAAGAAGCTATGAGACTTAAGTCTTTCTACTCTCGACATCAAAAGGTCCTGGCAAGGTACTGTTGGAACTCAAGGATGACAACCTAGACTGCCACATGTCAACAGGTCAGGAAAATGAATGCAGGGCAGAGGTAGCTGTACTTCAATGGGGACCATGAATGAAGATATATAATGAAGAAAAGCAAGGTGTTGAGTGCAAAGCCCTAAAACTCTGGAGCCAGACAAAACCCTGAAAACTCATTGTCCTCATCTGGTCAATGGGGATATTATCTCCCTATAATACAGAACACATTTGAGGAGGAAAGGAAATAATGCACAGAAGATGCCTGGTGTAGGGCCTAGCATATAAGAAGTGCTTGATAAATTGTAGCTGCTAAGGTTACTATTTTGTTAGTTTATTATTACGTGAGATTAACTAGGTCCTGGGGCAGGAGCAGAAGAACATTTCCGCTTCAGCTATCCCTCCTGCCTAGCAAAGAAAAGAATTAACACAAGTAAGCCCAGAGATGGGAGCAGGTGTGAAGCTGTGTGACTGCTCAGATCTGTGATGATGGCCCACCCATGACAGGCTGGGGTGCGGGCCTCTCACCTGTGCCCAAGGAAAAGAACCTGCATCCATTCAGTGCAATGTTCACTGTGCTCTCTCGACATGTGCCTTAAGGTAATCCTTGCCTCACAAGGACACTGTAGGTGGATTATATTAAAACCATTTTACCGATGAGGAAATAGAAGCTTAGAGATGAACGGACTTGCCTGAGGTCACACATCCGGAAATAGTCCTGGGGTTAAGAATAAAACTTGGATCTGTCAGCACCACCACCCATGCATTTGCTGCAAATATCAACCACATGGTCTCCCAGCAGAAAATGCCTAGACCCTTCTAGATCTAGAAAATGCAGATCTACTTTTTCTGAAAGTTGATTTGAGAAAAAAGGAAGAAGCCAAACCGCGTTTTTAAATTTCTAAGATGTTAAATTTGAATTTGGGACAAACATCGTGATTCACAGATACATCAGAGGGAGTCTTCAAAGGTTTCTATTTTGAGGAAATTACCTTTGTCCCAAGTGGCTGAAGGGAACTGAGATGGGGCACACTGTCTTTGCCAAAGGAAATCAGGCAGTGCCTCTCCAAGGCTGGTGACATTAAACCAAACCCTGACAGTTGGCATCGGAGTGGCTTTATTCCTGCCAAGAGGTGACTTGGTTTCTAAGAATACAAAAGACTAAAGAGGGTGTCCTGGAGACCAGAGTAGTGAGACAAACAGATGTCCCTCTCCCCTTAATTCAACCTGGGTAGGCCAGGAGTCCTTCTGTCCCCAAACCCAGGAAAGCTGAAAAGAAGAAATCTACCTAATAGGTTTGGGTTCAAGCTTTAATGAAATTAAAAATCTAGAAACCATTTGGTGAGGCTCTAAACAACAACTTCCCATCCTACCAGTTCTCCTTATAAGGAGAAACGGCTAGGGTGGATTCTTTATTTACCTCCCTCCTTCCCAAATAAATCCCATTTTCTTTCCAGCAGTGCTGGTTTTCCCAAAACTAAAGGTGACACACAAAACCAAAAAAAGGGTAATTCTGTTCTATAAGGCAGAAAACAAATATTTGCAAATCAAAAACAAAACAAACCCCCAAATATTTGGGGTAACATATCAGCAGAAATAGGGTGAATGTCAATGAGTCATGCATACATACTGAAGCCCAAGACAATTCCCTCAATATCCAAAATAGAGGTGAACAATGGCTTGTACAATTACAAAGGCACCTAGCAGATACGTTGATTGTCAACATATGGATGAAAACAACAAGACGGTACTCTGTGTGCTTATTTCTTTTATGGATGTCAGTAGAACAAACCAGCACACCTATCATCCACCTGGCACTGTGCTATGTACAGGGAATCCATGAGCTAATAGTACAAAACCCCTCTCTTCATAGACCTACAGAGCAACTGTATGGAGCTAGCTTACCGACTCTATAGTCAGAAACATTTGTTTGCCTATATAAAAATACATGTTCTCAAAGAATCCTATAGGGGAGACTGGGATTAAAGACAGTCAAAATCCTCACTCCTGCATATCACATGACTTAAATCAGCATTTACCTGCTTTTACACATGGATGACTTTGCTCTCCAGCATCACACCACCTGCAGTGTTGTTACTCATGAGCAAGGAGAACATCTGTGGAACTCACCTTGAAAATGTGAATCAAGTTACACAACTCGAAGGCAACAACCCTGATGAAAACCAGGTTATCCATCACCCATGAGATGTGTAAGGTTTCAGAAAACTGACCTTCCT